TGAGATCTAGACAAAGCAAAAGCTAATTCTAAATTAAAAGCCCAAATCTAAGCACTCATTGAAAGAGGCTCCTCATTTCACCAATGTGAGTGTATGGAATAGAATACTCAAATTTGCATATTAATTAGCCCAAAAACTTTAGCCTATATACAAAAGTGAGTTTGGACCTCATAATTATATTTTATATTTTGGAAATCTCAAATGTTATTTATGCCATATGAATCAAATATAAACTACATAAAAGATAAAAGAATCAAATAATATAATATAATAATATATTGTGAGTGCATTTTTTTTACAAAGTTTAAGGCCTAAATCTTTTTTAATATTATATATTCAATTGTCTTATTTATTTTTGATGAGATTAATATTAAATATAATATAGCTTTTCATTATTATAAGAATAATATAATCAAAGCTTGAAATTACTTCTTGTATTTTTTCAAAACATAAAAGCTTTCAATGTAATAAATAATAATATAAATAGACATTTAAATTTTAATGTTATATTGATAAAATATATATATAAATAACTAAACGTATATGTCATAGTTTTATTTTTAAAGTGTAGTGTTTTGCAATCCTCTTCTCTACATTTTTTAGATGTCCCTATCCACAAAGTCATATAACGTTTTTAGTCATTTGACATCAATGATTTGTTATGAGCTCTAACAAACTTATCATTTAACACATTTAACTCACAATTGAAGTGGTCATTAGTACTTTGAAGTATGTTAGTATTTATTTTGATTCAAAACCATTTTTTATTAATATAAAATATCCATAAAGTAATTATTTTTACAGTTTTTAAACATGTTATAGAAATAAACTATCTAATCATTTACTAAAGTGCTTAGTGTAAGCATTGCACAAGCATGACAAATGTGGTATTCATCATGTCATGAAATTCATTTAGTTTATCATCTAGCTAAACACTTTATCATTTTTTCCAATAACAGACTTATAAAATAACACGATAAACAAGAGACTTGTACTTATATATGTTAAAGAAAATTTATATA